TGAATGAAATGCCTGACGCACTTACAGTGTTTAGAAATAATTATTTGTACAATTCACTGTTCAAGATAGTTCTTCAAAAGAGACGATACTGAATCTTATATAATATAATACATATATATATATATATATATATATATATATATATATATATATATATATATATATATATATATATATATATATATATATATATATATATATATATATATATATATATACATATACACACACACAAACGTGTGAGTGTGTATGTATGCACACACACACACACACACACACATATATTATATATATATATATATATATATATATATATATATATATATATGCATATACACATATACACACATGTACAAACGTGTGAGTGTGTGTGTATGTATGCTCATAGATATAAATAGACACACACACACACACACACACATATATATATATATATATATATATATATATATATATATATATATACATTAACATATAAACATGTACACATACACAGATTCATGCCTTTTTACATCATTTAAGCAGTTTAACTGATCTTAAGGGCCTTTAATGACAGGATTACTCCTGCTTGTTACCAGTGATTCCGTGTTTATCTTCTGAGAAAAATTATTGGCTGACAGCTGTGGCAGTACAGTTAAATCCTTTATAACTGAAGACTGAGGACATGGAAAAAGTGACAGTCGTTCCTCGCTGAGTGGTTACTACGGTGTCAGGCCCTTCTGACCCGCAAAAGGAACTGCAAAAAGGTCATGATATTATTAGAAATTAGATAGAGTATTGAATAACTACATTTCCCGGTGCAACTGGCGACACCGCGATATCTAGAACGGATTCGACAACCGAATTCGGTCTAGTGAATTTGTATTTTTTTTTCATATGTTATGTTCTCATGTACGGTGTATTAATTGTATACTGTTAATTACCACATTGCCTAAAAAGATTATAATAAATAAAAATCAATACATATACATATATACATATATATTTAAAAAGGAAGGAGTAAAAACGAAAGAATTTACCTGAATCTTGGACCAACGTTCGAGATGGTCACGAAGTCATCGAAGCAGACGATGAACTTTCTGCCAACTTCGAAGTCGTTGCAAGTTATGGATATTCTGTCGGAGGCCTGAACAGCCTGTGGTATGTAAGCAAAGGATAGTTTCAGAGGAGAAACGCCATTGCAAAGGATTGTTTAAGTGAAATATAAACGCCATGGCAAAGGGTAGTTTCTGAGAGGGAGAAACGCCATTGCAAAAGATAGTTTCAGTGAAAGAGAAACGACATTGCAAAAGATAGTTTCAGAGAACGCCAACCTTAGTTTCAAATTGCAACAGAGGAGAAACGACATTGCAAAGGATAGTTCGCCATTAGTTTTCTTGCGACATTGCAAAGGATAGTTTTTTCAAAGGATAGTTTCAGAGGAGAAACGACATTGCAAAGGATAGTTTCAGAAAAGAAACGCATTGCAAAGGATAGTTTCAGAGAGGAGAAACGCCAATGCAAAGGATAGTTTCAGAGAGAAACGCATGCAAGGATAGTTTTCAGAGGAGAAACGACATTGCAAAGGATAGTTTCAGAAACGACATTGCAAAGGATAGTTTCAGAGGAGAAACGCCATTGCAAAGGATAGTTTCAGAGAAGGAGAAACGACATTGCATAGTTTTCTGTTTGCAAAAGATAGTTTCAGTTGTAAAAGGATAGTTTTGTGAAAGAGAAACGACATTGCACATTGCAAAGGATAGTTTCAGAAAAGAAACCCATTGCACGACATTGCAAAGGTAGTTTCATTGCAAAGGATAGTTTCAGAGAGAAACGCCATTGCAAAGGATAGTTTCAGAGAAGGAGAAACGACATTGCAAAGGATAGTTTCTAAAGTTTCTTGCAAATAGTTTCAGATTGCAAAGGATAGTTTCATTGCAAGGATAGTTTCATTGCAAAGGATAGTTTCATTGCAAAGGATAGGAGAAACGCATTGCAAAGGATAGTTTTGTTGCAAAGTTTCTGTGAGGGAGAAACGCCATTGCAAAGGATAGTTTCTGTGAGGGAGAAATTGCAAAGGATAGTTTCTGTGATTTCTGTGAGTTGCAAAGGATAGTTTCTGTGAGGGAGAAACGCCATTGCACTGTGAGGGAGAAACGCATTGCAAGGGATAGTTTCTGTGAGAGAGAAACGCATTTAGTTTCTGTGAGGGAGAAACGCCATTGCAAAGGATAGTTTCTGTGAGAGAGAAACGCCATTGCAAAGGATAGTTTCTGTGAGAGAAACGCCATTGCAAAGGATAGTTTCTGTGAGGGAGAAACGAGAAATAGTTTCTGTGAGAAGAAACGCCATTGCAAAGGATAGTTTTCTGTGAGGAGAAATTGCAAAGGATAGTTTCTGTGAGGGAGAAACGCCATTGCAAAGGATAGTTTCTGTGAGAGAGAAACGCCATTGCAAAGGATAGTTTCTGTGAGGGAGAAACGCCATTGCAAAGGATAGTTTCTGTGAGGGAGAAACGCCATTGCAAAGATAGTTTCTGTGAGGGAGAAACCATTGCAAAGGATAGTTTCTGTTTGCAAAGGATAGAGAGAAACGCCATTGCAAAGGATAGTTTCTGTGAGGGAGAAACGCCATTGAAAGGATAGTTTCTGTGAGGGAGAACGCATTGAAAGGATAGTTTCTGTGAGAGAAACGCCATTGCAAAGGATAGTTTCTGTGAGGGAGAAACGACATTGCAAAGGATAGTTTCTGTGAGGGAGAAACGCCATTGCAAAGGATAGTTTCTGTGA